ATGGTAACATGGGAAAATCTGTCAGATTTGGGCAAGGACGAATTGCCCAAATGAGTTAAACGTTTTGCTTTCATTTGATAATCTGTATGATAGTTATTCGAAAGACATGTTGTCATTATTATTGTCTTAAAGAGAAGCAACTGAGGTTAAATCAAAACACTACTCTTGTTTTGTGTTAAACCTGAGCACAGTTTTATCCTTTAATCTGTCCCCCAATTTCATTTGCTCCTCATTTAGTCTTATCACAGCCTCAGAGGAACTTTAAAGATCCTTAGTAGGATTCACAAAACATTAACTAACAGTACTTAATAGACTACTAATTAGCTGTTTAGTAATAGTAATGTTGCGTTCAGGTTTTGGGTAGGATTAGGGATGCACAATAATGTCATATTTTATAGCTATTAGTGAAGAGGTAATATCTTAGTAATAGGCAGGTAATAAGCCAGTAGTTAATAGCATGAATTGTGCATTAAAGTGTTACCGATCATTCATTCAACACAGATTTTCCTCAGGTTTGTCAGGGTTTTAGAGAAGCGTTTTGAACACTATATTCTTACTACAGATGTTGGCTTGTTGTGTAAGTCTAGCAATGATATCAAATCAGCATACAGATTTATAAAACTCTTTCCTAGTACTTGGTTGTGGCTGGAAGATCACACCCTGTGTAAAACATATGCTGGAATAGTTGGCGTTATATCTTCTATGATAAATAAGGGTCTAAACCGAAGGAAAATCAATGGTTTATAAGACTCTTAAGGCCTAAAGTGTTACCGATCATTCAACACAGATTTCCTCAGCTTTGTCAGGCTTTTGGAGAATGTTTGTAAACACTATATTCTTACTACAGATGTCAGTTGTGATGTTAGTCTAGCAGTGATTTTAAATCAACCTACTGATTTATAATACTCTTGTTTTTGTGTTAAATCTGAGCACAATTTTAGCCTTTAATCTGGGAGTATCTGAGATGCGACAGTCTCTTTATTTAGTCTTAATGCAGTCTCGAAGGAACATTACAGTCCATTAAATAAGCTGTGACCCTTTTTAGTTCTTATTGTGACGCAGTTTCTTGAGAAACGTAATATGTTGAGTGGCTTGTTTTTTCTACTACGAACTGATTGGATGTATAATGCAGGCATTTCATTCAGAAACAGGGGGGAAAGGGTTTGGGGGGAGTTATTACAATTTAACAGACTCCTCTTACCATGGGCATTGTTAGGGCTATTTTAGGGGGGCTGTAGCTGTTTTGGGATAAGCTCAAAAACTGTACACTAAATTATCGCCTCAGTCCCCTTTAAATTTGATAAGAAATCGGCGGCAGAATTCGGCTTCTCCCCGTATTTTGTTTTTCATTTGATCAGCAAGCCACTGCTGTGGACAGTGAGAGAACGAGGTGTGTGTTTATCGATAAATTGTTATAATATCGGCTTATTTGCAGTTATTTGATATAACCTTGTATCACCTGTATGTCACAGAGGAGCAGTCGGGTGTTCTCGGCGTTCACCTCATCAGCAGAGTTTCCTCCAGTGACAAATTGAACTCTTAACAAACATTTCGCTAATTTTATTTCAAAAGGAACTAACGATCTTAAACACTTTACAGTTTGTGCAGCATTAACTTAACCATACAGTCTTGCACAGAAAGGGTTAAACACGGTGACAGCAGCACTTAGAGAATGTACTCGTTTTAACTGTCACAGAGTCACTGACATCACAGAGACATGAAGGGTTGTCTAGTATTAAGTTCTAGTTATGTTGTCCGGTATTAACTAGTATTAACTTAATAAATTACTTCTTATTTATTATAATCATCACTCAGATCGTGAAATATGTGAATTAGTCTGTAAGTTTAGAAATTTATATTTATATGCGTGTCATTTAATTAGAAAAGTGGCAGTTTATTTATTTAATACATGGAAACAAAGGTGGGTTATTTGGGTTATTCAGAACTCAAATGGCTGTGCCTGTCTATGTAATATAGTGGAATATACAACCCCTTAAGCCTAATAAATATATATATATGTGGCGAGGCAGTGGCGCAGTAGGTAGTGCTGGCGCTTCACAGCAAGAAGATCGATGGTTCGAACCTTGGCTCAGTTGGCGTGTCTGTGTGGAGTTTGCATGTTCTCCCTGGGTTTCCTCCGGGTGCTCTGGTTTCCCCCACAGTCCAAAGACATGTGGTACAGGTGAATTTGGTAAGCTAAAATTGTCCGTAGTGTATGAGTGTTTGAGTGAATGTGTGTGTGGATGTTTCCCAGAGATGGGTTGCGGCTGGAAGGGCATCCGCTGCGTAAAAACTTGCTGGATAAGTTGGCGGTTCATTCCGCTGTGGCGACCCCGGATTAATAAAGGGACTAAGCCGACAAGAAAATATATGTATATATATATATATATATATATA